CTGTTCTGAAACATCACCACTGGTTCATCCATGAGTAGAGGCAGGGTACAAAAGTGGTCACCCTGCATCCCTCAGAACAGTTACATTTTCATCATTATCATAACAATCTTTTTCTTCCTCAGATGCCTGCTGCCTACCAAGGTCAATCACGTCAATCAGGGGCTAAGGATGAAGACAGAGGAGGATGATGATAGTTGGCAAATTTGGGTATCAAACACTAAAATCAAGGGTAGAGAAGAAGCGGACACAGGACCTAGCCATACAGCCTTCCTGGCCTGTTGGCTGGAAGCTGTTAATTCCAGTAAAGGACAGAACGTCCTTGCGGGTGGCTGGGAATCAGTCTCATCCCAGCCCTCTCATAAAACACACAAAGTTCAACTCTCTAGGTTTTTTTTTTAATTCCTTTTCTTTTCCCATCCCCCCAATTGACAACATTTGAATGCTGTTTCTATCTTTATAGGTGTGTGGGGAATGAGGGCTTTGAATATTTCATGGAGCATTCCCATTACTATTTTTTTTTTTTAAGACTACAATTTTTTGTTTAGATCACAGAACCATTCAGCCTGGGATCACCGAGTCCAACCCCCACCCCTACTCTACAAAGGTCTCCCCCAAACCAGACCCACCAACACCACACCCAAACGACCCTTAACCACACCCAGGGACGGTGACTCCCCCACCTCCCTGGGCAGCCTGTTCCAGCCTCTGACCTCTCTTCCTGTGGTATTTTTTTCCTAATGCCCAGTGTGAACCTCCCCTGCTGCGGCCTGAATCCGGCTGTTCCATTTCAGTCACCCATCCTGAAGTGCCTGGCCTGCCCACTTGGCCGGGCCTGGTGACACCTCTCTCGGATCGTCACCGCCGCCCTTCCCTTCCTGCTGGAGGCACAACAGGTTCCCCCAGACGAGACCCCGCAGCCCCCACTAACAAACACCGAGCCCGAGCAGCCAGGAACGGCGCCTGCATCCCCGGCACCGCGCCGGGCCGGCAGCGCACGGAAAACGACAGCGTTTTTCTCCCCTTCCCGCGGTTATGTCACCACGGGACCCCTGTTCCGCCAGGGCAGGGCCCCAGGGGCTGCGCTCCGGGCCCGCAGCGCCCAGGGCAGCAGGTTGGGCACGGCGGGAG